CCCTGGGATGACTGGCTCTTCTCCAGGGCTCCTGTCCCCGCTTCCAGGACTTGGTCAGACCTCTGAGCACATGCCCAGCCTTGGGACAGAGGCATTACTTGGGTCGGGCCGTGGCCTAAAGTAAAGCCCTGTGAATCTGGTGCAGAGCACACAGGCCCGGGCAGCAGGAGCTGTGCTGGGCCCCATTGCCCAGGTGAGGCTGACAGTCTAGACTGTGGCCCTGCAGGTGGGCCTGTGTGAGCTGGAGGGGCAGTGAGAAAGCCCAGCCTCACGCTCGGGATTGAGGGCGGGGTTGGGGGTCGCCAGGTTAAGGTTGGAGGCCCACTCTTCTGTTCACGGGGCACCTGGTGCAGGGTAGCCCTTAAGCCCCCCGGGCCTCTGGCATCACCCCACCCCAGATAGCCATCCAGGCTAGCACCTGCCCCTGGGCCAGCAGTGAGCTCCTGTGTGTCCTTCAAGGCCCCACTCAGATGTCTTTTCCCCAGCCCCTCCTACCCCCAGGCAGGTGGTGCTGCTGTTCTGATGATGGGGTTCACCCCTGTGGGACTGACCCCGGCCCCGGAGCCCTGCAGAGGGGAGGGGAGTCTGAGGCCGAGAGGTAGGGCCAGGCCCTGGTAGGCGAGTGACCCATCGCCACGTCGTCGACAGTCAGCAGCATGGGGCCAGTCACATGGCGAGGATTCACCCGGAATGTCCCCGGCAGTCCTGACGCTCATCACTCACCTCTGGCCTGTCCTTCCTTGGGAATGCCTGTGCCCTCCGTGCTGCCCCGCCCCCGCTCCACCCTTCCCGAACTGCCTCCCCTGCTGCCCCCACACTCAAGTGGAGCCCCAGAAGGCTCAGAGATAGGCAGCCTGCTCAGACCCAGGCTCGCCTGTCCCCAGGCCAGAATCCTCCCCCTGGGCTGGGATTAGAGTCGGCCTCCCTGGAAGCCAGCTCCTGCCACTCACCCAGGAGGCCCTCCGGCCTTGGACCCCTCGCCCTGGTGGCTGCTGCTCCCACCCTCAGCCACTGGGAGCCTCTAGGGGTGGAGGCTGGCCTTGTGCCCAACCTGGGGTGGCAGGGTTGTGGGGCCCAAAGTGGGTTTTTGGAAGGGTGATGGGTGGTATAAGGGACACTAGGCTGCCTGAGGCCACACCATGTCTGGGGGAGCGTGATGAGGAGGGGTCTCCCGCCCACCTGCCTTCCCCTCCCCTCCTCTCTGCCGCCTGTGCCCGTGCGCTCTCCTGGAATGCCAGCTCTCCTGCCTCTAGCCTTCATGCTGGAGGACGGGCTATGGGGGACCCCAGGCCAAGCCCAGCCCACTACACGGGGCGTGTAGTGAGGCCCAGAGTAGGTGAGACTCACTGGCTCCAGGCCTCCCGCCTCCATCTGCTGCCGGGACCCCCTGTGTCAGAGGCTTCTACCTTGTCTTGTACCCTGATGTTGACCCCAGAGGCCAAAGGGAAATGAGAGCTGTGCAGTAGTTAGGAAGGCTTCTCAGAAGAGGTGCTGGCTGTTCAGGGTGTGGAAGGGCTGGTGGAAACTGGAGGAGGACAAGCAGGAGGGCTCCCCAGCTGGGAGTGGGCAGGAGACCCTCAGGCCACAGGGAGGGGATGGAATATGCCAGTGGGAGGCCTGTTATGTGCAGAGGGTGGCACCCCTGCCTCTTCCCAGGCTGGTAACTGCCTACCCTTACTTGCAAGGCTGCTCCAAGCACAGGTCGGTCACCAGACCCAGGGCCCCACTATGCCCAGGGGTCATCGGGCTAGCCTGGGGGTGTCTTGACAGGGCCTCGGGTGGGAGGGGCCCCAGGGGCAGCCTGCTGGAGGCCTGGGTTCTCAAATCCCCCCTGGAGAGAGCAGCAGGTGGGGGCTGATCGTGCCCAGTCCTTAGGACTCTACCCTGCTCTCCAGCCCGAGGACTTTCACCCAGCAAACATGGGCTGAGCACGTGATGTGCACCAGGGACCCAGACACTCAGGGCAGCCCCAGCCACCTTTAATACAGACAACTCAGGTGAGGAGCTCACAGCAAGAACAAAGCGGAGGAAGCGGTTGACCCCTGTACGGGGTGGTGGGGACGTGGCCCCCATGGTCACCGAGGGGCGAGGAATCTGGCCCTGATGCCGTGGGCAGCCTGCCCTTGGCAGGGGCAGCCCGACCCTGCTCTGCCCTTGGAAGCTGCGAGCTGCCCGGGCTCAGGCTCTGGGCCCACCTGGTCGCATCCTCGCTGTCGCACTCGGGTGACGGGCACTTCCCTCCTTGTAGAGATGGGGACAGACCCCTGCCTGCCTGAGGGCTGGGGGCTAAGTGGGAGCACGTGTCAGGCAGTGCTCAGATGGCCAGTGCTCAGTGACTGTGCCATCGGTGGGGCTCCCACCACCACCGCCTCCAGGAAGTCCCTGCTCTCTGTTTCAGAGTCCAAGGTCAGAATTTGGGGCTACTTCTGGGTCCATCTGAGAATGTCTTTTGCACTTTGAGGCCCTTGAGTAGCTTTTTCTTCAGGGATGCTTGAAGAGTTGATGAGGATGAGAGAGGAGATTTGACATGGAGACCTAAATTGAAAATGCAGGTCACCCAGACGCTGCTTACAGTTAGTTGGGCAACTAGGCTGGACATGAGCAGACAGCCCTCCAGCTGACCTCCACGACTTTAAAGGTAGGCAGGGAGCTGTCACCCCAGACATGCTGCCTAATAAATATCCTCTCTCGGATTTCCGGTTTGGCTGCCCTTGGCTGACCTCAGCCAGGCCGGTTCACATGTGGGGCTGAGCTAATGTAAATTCCTGTCCCTGGGACCGCGGGCCGGCCCTGCGCACGCCTCTCCGAGGTGTGCAGCTCAGACGCGGAAGGGGCCCGGGCGAGCCTAACCTCAGTCGGAGGTGCGGGGAGAGCCCCTGCAGTGCTGGGGAGTTGGTGCCTGGCTGCCGGCGTTGGGCACGCGCAGTGGGTGCGCAGTGGGTCCTCAGTGAGCAGGGCGCGGGGCCCCCTCACCAGCCTGGCCCGCCCTCCCGTCCCCAGCGGCAGGACGAGGGCATTTCAAAGTCAGGGCGCCTCTGAAGCCGCAGCGTTGGCGGGAGGGAATAACTCAGCTCCCACCAGGCTGAGAATAGCTCAGAATTGGGTCACGCTTACTGAGAGCTCTGGTCACAGCCTCCAGCCTTTGAGGATAATCAGCTTTCTCCCCAATATCTATCCCTTCAAAGAAGGGGGCAGACGGGTGTGGGCACCATTTTAGAAGAAGCAGAGGGAACAAGGACGGAAGGGGAGTCTGTTACCAGCCGCCGGCCCCCATCCCCCACCGCCTCTGCTCGGCCTGCTGCCCCCTGGTCCCTGGTGGCAGGCCAGCTCTAGCCTGCCTCCCACCTGGAGTGCCCCCCAACTCCCCAGGACCGACCAGCCCTGCCCCGGGCGAGGTGGTGGAAGAAGGCCCCAGATGCACTTGGCACCACAAGGGCCCCTCAGGGATGGACCTGAGGTGGGGCTCAGCCGGGGACAGGCCTCCCACAGGTCCCTCTGCTGGCCACCCTCCGGGCCGAGAGGCAGAGTCCCCGGGCTTCCGATCCCAGGTGCCTAGAGTGCGGGGCACAGCCTACCTTCCCACCCTCTACGGGGCTCTTGGAACCTGGAGTGATGGAACCGCTCTACCTGCATGGGACACTTGAGTGGTCCTCAAAATGTGGTCCACAGATGGCAGCACCCACATATTCAGGGGGTTTGTTAAGAGACAGGCTCTCAGGCCCCACACAAACCTCCTAAGCAGAAGGTGTGTTTTAGACAGATTCCCCAGGTGATTCAAACAATATGAAAGTTTGAGAAGTACTAGTTTGGCTAATCTTTGTTCCCTCTTTGCCTCAGCCACTAGGAAGCTCAGAGCCAAATTTGTTGCCCATCTGACAAGAGTGTATAGAACTTAACCCTGTTTCATCTTATTTCCAACTAGTTTTTTCCTGCTGTCCTACCCTTCTCCTCCCAGAGTGGCCCTCAGGGCTGAAGTGGGTGATGTCACAGGTTCATATTGTCACCTGGGCATGCTGCCACCAGTGGTACAAGGCCAACTCCATCCTTGTACCAACACGGTGCATACCTCTTCCCCAGCTCACGCTCTCTCTCTCTCTGTGTGTGTATTTATATTCTTTAGTCTGTACAAACCCACAAGGCAGCCCCAGAGGGCAGGGGAGATGGAACCTAAGTATGCCTTGGACCTGTGGCCTTTGTGATTTTGCTTTTGAATTAGACATTTTCCATAATAAAATTATGGACAAAAATGTTCCTAAGCTTTGGCCACAGTATGTTCATGAATGTCCACAGAGCTGAGGTTCTCAAACTGTGGTCCCTGGGCCAGCTGTGTCCGTATCATCTGGGGACTCCGGACATGCCTGTTCCTGGCCCCACCCCACGCCCACCGGTCCTGGAACCCCAGGGCTGCAGGGGCGGCCGAGGGGCCTGCAGGGGAACCAGAGTCTTTCAAATTGCTTTCTTCTATCTCTTCAAACAGGCAGAACACATCTTCATAGCCTTAAGCGGCACAGTGACAGCTCTGGAAGCTTCCACCACCAGCTCCCTGGCTCTCCTGAGGCTGCGTGTTGCCAACAAGAACTCAGTTTGGCCTCAGCGTGGCTGCAGCGTTTGTGCTGAGTCCCCAGTCCTCCTGGGGTTACTGTCTCCCCATGTCTCCCTGTGGTCCAGGCGCAGAGGCCCCTGAGCTCCCGGGGCGGGGGCTGGCGAGGCAGCAGGGCCTCTGTGTGAGGACCTCCTCAGGTTCCGGTCTGAGCAAACCAAACGTCTGAAAGCGAGACAATGGAAAATTTGAAGCCTGGGTGGATATTTCGTAGGTTTAAGGAATGACAGCTTTTCTTAGGTGTGCTAATGATACTGTGGCTGAGATCCTCAAAATAACCTGGGTGGGGTGGCAGGGGAGATGAACCCAGGTGCTCCTTCAACCTGCGGCCTGCACAGTTCTGCCTTTGAATTTGACATTTTCCATAATAAGTATTTTTCTAAAAAAACAAGAAGGAAAAAGGCCCCAGACCCTCTCAACCATTTATTTGCTCAAGACACCCCGGGCAGGGAAGGTGGCGGCTGGAACTCCCTGCCCTCTCAGAGGCCCTTGGCCGCTTTGCCCAGCCTTCCCTTCCGGGGCCGCCGGGCCTGGAGAGTCTCAGCTCCCCGGCAGGTCTGAGGACGGCCCAGGCACTGGCAGGTGACGTGCTGCGGAGCAGGTGGAAGAGACAGGTCCCCGGTCCCTGGCAGGGGTAGCGATGGCCCGGCCGCTCCCTGCGCCTCCCAGTGCAGATCCGATGGTCACAGACCCAGGAACGCGTTTCTCTGGTTGAGGTTGGCCCTTGGGACCCTCCACCCCTCGGCAGCACAGGGTTGGGGGCAAGTGGGGCGCCACCCCAGAGGAGGTGCTGTCCCTCGGCTCTGGGAGGCAGCCCCTCTTCTGGGCTCTCCAATCTCTCCTCCTCATACCACCCCCACAGCCCTGTGCCCCCTGTCTCCCAACCAACAGCCTCCAGCAGGCCTGACATCATCCCATGCCCCCTAAAAATGGCTTAGAAATCGGCCTTATTGCAGTATAGTTTACATACAACAGGAGGCACCCATTTAACCATCCAGCCCCAGGAGTCCTGGACCAAATGTATACACCTGTGTGCCCCCGACCCCCACCCCTTCCCAGACCGGCCGCCCAGCCCAGTGTCAGGTAGTTGCTATTGTTCAACACTTGCTGATACACAGGATCTAGCAGGGAACCAGGGAATGAGACGAGGTCAGACCACGGACTTTTTGTGCTTTCAAGAGAGCACATCAGAGCAAGTAGCCAGCCCATGGCCGCGGGCAGAACCACTCCGCCTCTGCCAGCAGCTTCGGCCACCCGGGATGCTGGACGCGCAGGACGCTGACAGCTCTGAACCAGTGGACACACTCGGGGAAGGGGGCCCTGGCCTGCGGAGGCGCGGGCCCTGCCGAGGAATGCCGACTGTGGCTCACGGGTGGGGAAGCGGGGGCGACCGAGGCTTGTTGCTGGGCTACGGGCACAATGGACATTCCAGGCACCAGGCAACAGGAAGGGGGCCCAGGACCCAGCATCCCCAGCTCTCTCTCCCTCCCAGGACATGAGGATGTGCTGCCTGCCAGGCGCCTGCCCCACACTGGCCCTAGCACCCTCTGTGACCCAAGTTTGCTAGCAGGGCACCCAGCCAGAGGGTGGCCCTCCCTGCCTGCCATCTCCTGGCTTCTGTCTCCTCTGACTCTGTTTCCTGGCTGGCCGCAAAGTCCCAGGGCAGGGCCCTCACAGGGCCCTGGGCAGAGCTTAGAGGTCTGGGTGGGACCCCAGGCCTCTGCCCCCTGCCCCAACCCCAGGCCTTGGGCCCAGCACCCCCAGCTCCAGCCCAGCTTGGAGAACCCCCCGCTGCCCAGTGCCCAGCCCAGCCTTGTCTATCTGGTGCCAGCTGAGGGCTTCTGTTTGCTCCCTTCAGGCCCCGCTTCCTCCCTTGGTGGGGAGACTGGGGAGAAGCTCTGGGGCTGAGGGCTGCCCGCCGCTGGGGAAGGGCTTGGTGGTCACTGAGCTCCCGGATCCAGCCTCCAGGCCTTTGCCCTCAAAGCAACCCTCCCTAGCGCCTCAGCCCCAGGGCCTCCCTGACCAGGGCATGGGGTTTCCTCAGAGCCGCATGGAGAAGTGCCTAGGGGTGCCCGGTCTGCCAGCCCCTCACCACCCCGCACACACAATCATGCATGTTTGCACACACACACACACAGTGAGTGTACATGCGGGGTCATGGGATCCCGGGAGATGCAGGCTTCAGCCTCTGAGGGCAGGAACACCAGCCCCAGAGTCCCTCCCAGGACCATGTTCGCCCCAGGCCGGGGAGCAGCTGCCTGCCCCCTCCAGCTGCCTCCCAACACCTCAGGTCTGCCCTTCTGGCAGCCCGCCACCCCTTCCTGTCCTGGGGACCCACACTCCCCACCAGGCTGAGCCCCCACAGCCACCCTGGGCCCAGCGTGGCATCTGGGGTGTGGTGTGCACTCCAACAGGTGCTGTCGCTTATCAGGAGCAAGGCCAGGAGAGGGGGCTGCTTCTGTCCCCTCCTCTCAGGGATGCAGCTCAGGCCTCCCCAAGGCTGAGCTGGGGCCCCACAGGGTTTCTGCTAGGCTGAGAGCGGGGGACAAAGAGACAGCTGCCAGCAGGGCAGGGTAGGGGGGGCCATGGCCTTTGTGTGTGCGCCCAGCCCCTCCTGGTGACCTCACTGCCGGCCAGAGAAGGGCTCTTTCTTCCCAAAGACGGCTGTTGGAAATCCGCCTGGGGACAAAGCCACTGCCAGGCAGGGGACCAGCTAGTGGCCAGCCCCCTCATGGCATAAATTAGGCGGGGGCTGTGGTGGGGGTGGGGAGGGCATCTGCAGCCGGAGCCTGGAGCAGGACACACATGGCTGTGTCCCCGTGAACAGGAGCCACCCTGACCCCCACTTACATAGGGGTGATGAGCTGCGCCCCTCCAAGTGTCATTCAGCGATTTGCCCTCCTCCATTCATTCCACAGATGGCCCCTGGGCCTCGCAGGAGGGAATAACTGGGCAAGGAGCGGGGCTCACCGCCCAGGGGGTAGGACAGCCTGGACCTGGGCAGGACAGCGAGCGGCTCATCTGCACGCACTCGAGCCCATGGCTGCGTCTGTCCCTGGGCAGACCGAGGCCTAGCATGTGCCCAGGTCTGAGGTCACGCAGCAGGCCCATGAGCCTGGCTGGATCCCCAAGTGAGGTCAGGAAAAAATCGGGGTTTTGACGCCTGGTTTTGGGTGATGTCCACACCCTGCAGAGCCGAGGGCCTCCTGTCCCCAGGGCCTGGTGCTCCACAAAGCACCCTCACAGCCTTGCTGGCCCCTGGCCCACCTTTCTTGGGACTCCAGAGATGCTCCTGTATGAGACCCTGCTGAGCCGGGGTGGCCAATGGTGGCTGATAGCGGCAGGGCCGTGTGGTCATCACACAGGTCTAGGCAGCATTGGCCACCCAGGGAGTTCCTTGGGCTGGCCCAGGGATGCTGGGCTCCCTTCTGATGGCTTGCTGAGTCCCCCTAGACCCTAGAGTCCCCATCTCCACAGCCCCGGGTGTGCCAGGGCCCCAAGCCAGGCAGGCTTCCTGCAGGTGGAGTCAGCGGCCCGGAGCTGGTCCCAGAGGTCAGGCTGGATCCGGGAGGCAGGCATAGGTGAGCTGGTGCTGCCAGCAGGGCTGAGTGTCAGGTGCGGGCACCCCTCAGAGAATGACGCCAGGCCTAGCTGCCCCACATCCCGGCCAAGCTCACAACGGAGGCCGAGGGGCGTCTGAGGGGGCGAGGGTCACCGGCCCCCGCGGGCCTGTCTCATGAGGGGTGCGTGGGCAGCATGGGGCCCTGTCCGCGGTGTTCCCAGCCACCCCTCCCACTCAGACACTGTCTGGCCTGGCCTAGGCCTTTGGTCGGGGTCACAGAGCCCTTTGGGACTGGCAGTTGCCCCAGCAGCACAGAGACCCTAGATTTCCAGGGCTGGAGACTTCAAAGCCCTTGGGAAACCACTGGGTTCACAGCCCACCAGGAGCCAGAGAGGGAACTTAGGTTTGTGAGCACCTACTGGGTGCTGGACATTTCTGTAGCCCCACTCTGTCTATAGAGGAGGAAACAGTCCCCACAGGCCGGGGCCAGCATCCATCCAGCTCCCATGGTGGGCAGGGAAGCCGAGGGAGGGCCCCAAAGGGCTGGGGCACGTGACGCCCAGGAGCAGAGGGGCGGGGCGGGCGTAAGTAGGCCAGCCTGTGCGCCCTGTTGCCATGGGGCCGCTGCTGCACAGGCTTCCTTCTGGGCCCTGTTCCCGGGACACCAGGCGTCCCTCCCATCCCAGTAAGGGGCCATTCCCAGCCTCCAGGTCCCCCACCGCGCTCACCTGCAGGCCTCTGGGGGGCTGTGTGAGTATCTCGGCCCCACCTGGTTACACATGCATGGCGTTCAGCGGCCCTGCATCTCAAGTCCCTGAGGGCTTCGTGCTCACCCCAGGAGGGCAGAGCTGTGCCTCCAAGGCCTTGGCGGGGACGGCCTCACCGTATCCACCTTCGCGTGACAGGAAGACGGGGGAGGGGCTCTGCGGGCCCAGGATTCAGGGGACACAGTGGCCTAAAGGGGAGACATGAGCATCACCCAGTTCAGAGGTGGCCCTGGGCGTGCAGGGGGAGCCTCAGGGCTCCTGCCCACCAGGCAGCTGCTGTTGCCCCGGGGCTCTGTGTGCCTCACTGGAATCGGCCCCACGACGACAAAGTGAGGACCTTTGCCGACCTCTCGGGCAGAGCAAGGCGCACTGGTGGGCAGCTGCCCTGCCTAAGGCCTGGGGCACAGAAGGGCCCTGAGGCCCAGCTTCGCAGACACCCTCGTGCTGCAAAATTGATGTCAAAGGGCAGAGTCTGGGTGTTAGGAGAGGTAGCTGACCCTAGCGTCCCTGAGCCCCTGCCAGTGAGGACCCCACCAAAGGTGGCAGGCAGGGAGAGAAGCAGAGCCAGGTGCCTTCCTGGGGGGCATCTGGGGGAGGAGCCAGGTGGGAGAGGCTGGGCTCCTTGCTTGGGGACACCCAGACCCCTTCAGGGTCACAGCTGGGCCCCTTGATCCCCCGCCTCAGCCTCCCTGTCTGGTAACACAGGGTGGCCCCAAAGTCCACTCAGGTCTGTGTGGGACTGGCTCCTGAGGGGCAGGAGGGCATGTGGGAAACAGGACAGCCCCCTTTTCAACAGGGGCGCCCCAACTAGTGATTGTAACCATGCCTGCTGGTGGCTGCACCCTTCAGCGCCTCTGTCCTCTGGGGTTGGTAGGTCCGTTGGAATCCCAAGGCCCCTGGTTAAGGCCCTGGACGCTCAGCAAAGCCGACCCTTCAGTAAAAAGGTCTGGGACAAGAGCCCGAGAGCACCCGGGCTTACCCACGGGGTCCCACTGTGCATGGCTTCCCTCCGAGGCACCCACTACCTGGCAGGGCAGTCTCCCCAGCCCAGCGCCCAGGAGGCATGTAGCGTGTCTGTGGCATGGAGCTGTGTCAGGCATGCCCACAGGTGCTCTCAAAGGAGGGCCTGGCACAGAGCAGGAAGTGCTGGGTGCTAAGAGACCCCCGAAGCTTCCTCGGGCAGGGGCTTCACGGAGGGTGGGGGGTGGGCTGGAGCGGAACGTGCTTGGGGTCACAGGTCGCAGCGGGGACGGCCATGGTCCCGGGGCTGCTGGCGCCCAGGCTTGCCACCTGCCTTGCATGGTGATAGGTGCCCTTTGCCTGGTGCATGGTCACCTGAGCTGTCCTGCCTGCTGCTGACCCTACAGTGCAGTGGGGGGACCCCACTGGCCTGGGACAGGCCCTGGGAGACCTGCTAGGGAAAAGTAGCCCTGGAAGATGGGGCCTAGGGGGGCTCCTTGTGCGCAGGAGCACCAGGGGAAGCCCAGCCTCCCTTCTCACTGTACACAGTAACCTTTCCTGCCACCGAGGGCCCAGGCCCTGGCCCAGGCCCCACACTTGCTTTGGACCTTCCAGCTCCTTCCTTCTCTCCGGCTTCCACGGCCGTTCTCGGCCCTCCCGCCCTAGACCTCAAATCGCAGGACCCCGGTGGGGACTGAGGCCCGAGAATGGGATGGTTACCGTCCAGCTCCGGGGGGCGTCCCTCCCAGGCCAGCGCGCCACAGAGCCGCGAGGGTCCGGTGGAGAGGTGTTTGCAGGAAGTGGCTTTGCCTTGGGCATGAAGGTTGGGCACAAATTACCAGGGACCACCCCCTTACCTGCCAGGGCACAAGGCTCTACCCGATGGCGTGTGCCAGGTGGGCTGGTGGTGGGTGGCCAGCCAGGACCTGAGACGGTCTCGCTGGATGCCCCAACACGAAGGGAGAGTCACAGGTTGCAAGAACCGCAGGCTTGACCCAGACCCTAGACTGTGAAGCGATCAGGCAGCCCAGCACAATGACCACGCACCGCCCCGGGGCAGAAGCCACAGCCCGGAGGCGCGGCCAGCTGCCCACCACCGTGAGGGCGGTGCGCCAGGCAGGGGCCCAGGCAGACACTTCGCAGCCACCCTGCCGGGCTTCTGGCTGCTCCTTCCGCCCTGGGAGGTGCCGAGCGCCTCAAAATTGGGCCGCGGGCGCCGCCTGGCGGCCGTTGCTCCAAAAAACCATACACTTCGGGCTCAGGAGACACCCAATGTCAAGGGACCCCTGCGCGCCAGGAAGGCGCCACCGCCCAGGCCCGGCTGGGTGGAAGGCCGGATGGCGAGGCGGGTCTGTTGGCCTCCCTCTCCACCCCGCCTAGTAGGTCCTGCACACAGTGGGGCGCAGACAGGCCTCTTGGGTCTCACCTGGAGGGGCCCCCTGGGGCACCTGCCGGGGCACAGGCCTAGCATCTGGATGGACACCCACGGAAGTAACCAGCCCAGGCCTGGTGGAGCTGCAGTGGCCTGGACCTCATGAGGGAGCCTCCCCAGGAAGGGCCCAGTCCCAAAGGGCCGCTTGTACCTGACTTTCCGTTCTAGGAGAGTCTCTGGCCCCGGATGCAATCCTGCCCCCACCCAGGGACCCACGGCCCCTCTTGCAGCCAGCTAGGCCCTGTGGGAGCCAGCCCTGCACATTCTCTGGTCCCCACCTGGCCCCAACCACGGGCCGCTGCACCTCAGGGTAGTCGTGTTGATGGAGGACACCTGCCTTTCCTCTGATGGCTGGGTTGGGGGTGAGAGCAGGAAGATGGCTTTTTCTGGGAAGATGGACCCGGGCCTCCCAGAGAAAGTAAGGCCGAGGGTCACCCAGAGTGCTGGACCTGCCTGAGTCAGCATTTGTGGAGGGTGACATAAGCCTGGCAGATGGTCTGGGACAAGACCTCAGGCCCACAAGCCAGCAGCCAGGTCCCTCACCCCAGCCTGTGGGTATGGCTGGCCTCTGTGCCCATCAGATTCTTTGCATCTTCAATAATTTGCTCTTTTTGTTATGTAGCTAGACCCAGGGGTTCTGTCACTTGCATTGCTTTTGTGACCCTGTTCTCGTGACTAGTCTCTCCTACTGTCAGACAGTCCCCCACCTCTGGTGCTTCCCTCACTGCACCCCAGATCATCTCCCTGGGTCCCACACTCTGCCCCTCTCCTGGTGTCCCGCCCTCCCTGCTGGCCCCTGTCCCTGTCCCCCTTGCTCCCATTTCAGCCCCCATCACTGCCACCAGGGTGAGTAAGCAACAAAGCACCTAGTCCTGGAAGGCCCAGATCCTGCCCTGGTGCTCCAGGGCACCCCCCCGGATCCCTGGCGCCCCGTTCCCCCCACTCCGTCCCCTGCTCCCTGCTAAGCATGCCTGGCACTGGGCTCTGGGCCTCCGCACCTGCTGCTTCCTCCCTGGGAGATCTCCCACCTGCAGGGTTCAGGTGTGCCCCTAGAGGGGCATTCTTGGACTCCCCAGCACAGGTGCCCCACCCCAGGAGCACACATTTGGGGTACATGCATACCCTGCCTGCCGGCACGATCCTTGTCACACCTGGGCTATATGATTCACTACCCTTGTCTGCCTTCTGCCTGGACACGGGGACACATCTGGGGCTGCCAACCCCTCGGCCCGCAGGACAGCGGCCCATGGAAGTTTGCAGGTGGAGCATAGGAGGCCCTCCCTGACTCTCCTGCCCCTTGGGTAGCCCTTCTGCCAACTCCCATGATTCATACTGTCTCCATTCATTCATTCATTCAACAAGTATTTACTGGGTGAGCCAGGTGCCGTTCTAGGTACTGAAGATGTAGGAAGAACAAAGTCCCCCGTCTTCCTGGTTGGAGACAGTGGATGGTCCTGCTGTGGAGCCCCTGCGGATAGCGGAGCGGGACTGGACCAGCTGCGTGGGCCAATCTGGCGGCCAGCACTTGCTGTTGGTTCACACTGCGTTCTGCGTTCACGTGGTCCATTCTGAAGCCAGGGGTGGCTGCTGGCTGCTCAGAGGTAGGCCTGGACGTGCTGAGGACCCAGGAGCAGCGTGCGAGTTGGTCCCTTCTGCAGGGACAGCCATCAGGAGGCCACCTTTCCACCTGTGGCCAGGCAGCAGGGGGCAGTAGTTCTGTCCTGCACCCTCCCCAGGGAACCCAAGTGACCTGAGGTGGAGAGGGGGAGGCCTGGCCAGGAAGATGAAGGGACAGGGGTGGCCACAGTGTGCTGTGGGGGCTCCTTTGTGTGGGAGCCTCCCGTGTCCCTTCGGCTTCTCATCCAGCAGGGTGCTCGGCCAAGGGCAGCTGGTCGGAGGTGGAGGGGGCAATGTGTTCACCTGACCTGCCCTCCCACCATGAGGGCCTTGGTACGGGGCACGTCCAGTCCCACCCAGGGGGCAAGGTGGGCATAAGGTGAGACCCTGACAGGATGCCAAGATCCTGGCTGCAGGTAAGTGGACCAAGGTCCTTTGAATCCTGATAAGCAAAAAGGCAGCTGACTTTAAACTTTATGAAGCATCTAAAATCTGAGATTTCCTATTCACTTACTCAATAAGTTGTTTTGAATATAGATTATCTGCCAGGAGCAGAGGACACTATTTCTGAAGAGGAGTTCATCCAAAGCTGTCTGTTTGCCACTTGCTGCCAGGGCCGGAGGCTACAAGGATGAAGAGATGGTTCTGCCTTTAAAGGCACCTTAGCCTGGGGAGGGAGTGACAAATGAGCCAGTGGGCCCTGAGAGCCATCAGGGGAAGGGGCAGGCACAGAGGCCTGGGCGGGAAGGCTTCGGGATGCAGGCGGCAGGGCCGACAGAGGCTGGGCGGAGCCACTCAGGACCACCCAGCTCCACGTCCTGGGTGCCCTGGGGGACGAGGCAGGACCATCAGGTCGGAGAGAGACTAGCAGTGCTTCTTTGGGAACCAGATGTCTGCAGGGAAATGGCTCAAGAGTTTAAAGGGTTACCACACAGATTAAACCAGCCATTTGCTGCCACCACAGAGTGAAGAAGGTATAGGACAGTGTGAGTCACACAGAGATGCTCACACGGAGTCTCCGGCCGCTGGCAACTTGGAAAGATCTCCGAGTCCTAGGAAGGGGAATAGCGACTTCAGTCTGGGGGTAAGTTGAAAGGATATACCTTTTCCAGTTAAAATTCACAACTGAAAGACTGGCACAGAGTAAGATGCTGGTGTATCAAGACTATTTCTTGTAACGTTTTCTATTAAAAGGGACTTGTGGTTTACTGATGTTTGGAACTCAGTGAGATTCCACTTCAGCCGCCTGCACTCCAGCCTGAGCTCCCAACTGCTCCTCCAGGGCCAGCAAGTGTGCGAGCTTCTATAGAGCTCGATGCCCAGACGGCACCCCTTCCAGGAGCGCAGAGCCCTGTGGGCAGGAGCACACCCTCCCGGCGGACTGCAGGGGCCTGTGCGGCGTCCTGCTGTCCAAGATGAGCTCTCTGCCTTTCCTATTAGCCGTGTGGCCTCGGGCTGCTGCTTGGGTGTGATCTTGAGTGTGCAAATCACTTGTGAAATAGAGGTGGTGCCCAAACCTGCCTCAGAATGGTTCCGAGAGTGAAACATGCATGTGACATGTTTTGTACAGGGCCAGGCACATAGGAAGTTTCAACCAATGACAGATTGAAAAATGAAATGTCAAAATTACAGCAGAAGCATGTTGGCCACCACCCAACATGCGCGAACCCGGGTGACCTCAGACCTGCACTGGGCCTCAGTTGCACCCCTGCTAGCACCTTTGCACCCTGGAAGCAAGAGCCAAGCTTCCTAGCCCGGTATCCCTCAGCCCGTGCGGCACCACTGCCCAGCCCACCCCAGGGGTCCCGTCCTGCTTCCGACCAGCCTCGAGGGAACCGAGCCCCCTCCCTCAGCCTCCCTGGCCTGTGGTGTCCACTGCTCGCTCTCCAGCAGCCACTCAGCACCTTGCTGCTCTCCTGATGTCCTGGCATTCACGCACCGGACACACCTGGAGTGGCTGGGTCATCGTGCCCTTTACTGCCTCAAAGAGGTGTGGTGCCTTTGGGATGATAGAGTACAAGGTGAGGAAGGGATTCATTAAAGCGCGAGTGTCAGGGAAGGACGGGTCAGTGAGGAAGGGCGTCCACTGAACTGCTGCTTAGCATGGGGCACAGCCCCTGCCAGCTCCTTAAGCCAGTGTCACCCGGCGTCCAGGGTCCACTCGGATCTGCGCGGCGTGGGAACTGAGCCCCCACCACCCCAGGATTTCGGGGAGCCACAGAGCACTGGATGGAGCGAGATGATCTGTGAACTTCCTAGAGGCAAAGAAAGGAGACTTTCAGGCAGGCTCCTAAAGAGCAGGGCCGTAAACTGCAGTGCCCCCCGGGGGGTGACAGTAAGTTGCAAGCCCAGATCTGAGCCCTCAGCAGCCCCTCCCTACCTTCGTGAAATAGGACAGAATGAAGGCTTGGGCTGAAATCTGGAGGATTAGAATGACAAAGCAAAGTAACAGACACTTACCTCTGGAAAGGCGCAGACAAAACATTGTAAATTGAGCAGTGAGAAATTTATTTAAGGCAAAAAGGTGCATGCTGGGAGCAAGGGGAGTGTGGGCCACCTCGGGGAAGAGGCACGGGAAGGTTTAAGTTTTCTTTAAAGTTACACACTTAGTGCAGACCCGTGAGTGACCTCAGAGGGAGGTGGGTCCTGAAAGGTTGGGGGTTCCCTCTTCTAAGGATTTTTCAGGAATGTGACAAAGGGCTAAGGGGTGTAGACTTTGTAAGTGGTCCCAAAATGTTCATCTTTGATGAGACATTAAGTCTCTTCTCTTATCAGTAATTATCCAGGTAATTCTGCAAAATTAACACAAGAAATTTACTGCTGATTCCTTCCTAGGATGGCAGCTTCCATCTGGGAGCATATCCATCAGGACCGCCTGCCCTGCTCCCAAGGCGGGCTGTTATTGTCTGTTTGCTAAAGAGTGTGTCAAGAACCTTACTTCTTAACTGGGTTTTAAAATGCAGTTTCAGCTTTAAGATGGCATCTTTCCCGTTTTCCCCACGCTGTTTCTAGCTGGGCGTGCCGGCTGCATCGGTCATGCGCTTCTCTGGCCCAGGCCGCAGTACTTGATCAGGGGCTGGGGGAGCAAAACCAGCACATAGGTTCAGTGAGGAAT